AAAACTTTTTTTTAATTAATAACCAATAGTGCGTACACTTAATTACAAAAGGCACAATTGGAAAGAAACCTAAAAAATAGTGGATTATACAATCACTCCACCCTCCCCTCAAATCTAAACTTGGACTCTTACCCCTCTTGAATCCCCACTTAAACCCACCTAAGACAATCCATACTGCACAGTTCCTGTATTCCTGTGAGCAGCTACAGCAACGGCTGCGGCACCAACCGGACCAAACTGAGATTGCGCCTGCAGCAGTTTTGAATCTATCACATGTAAGTGATCTGCCTTCGTGGGTGGTGGGTAGTATGGATTGGTGTTGACTTCAATGGCCATGCCAGGAGCAGGTTTTGCTGCTAAGTTGCGTTGTTCTGGCTGGGGTTGCAGGTTTTGGGTATGTTGGTTGCTCTTGAAATGTGTAGAGGTTGCTGCCCTTTAATATCATTTGAAATATATAGCCCTTTATTATGTAATAAATGAGAATAATGCCCTAGCTGACTATGATCCTCATCATTAGTACCTCCAGTCTCTTAATTATAAATAAATTGTTGCAACTAATGTGATGTGGATGTTATACACTCATCTCTTATATAGTTCATCTTCTTCTTTCTTTTTTTTCTTTTTTTTATTTATTTTATACAAATGATATTATACTTTAATTTAATCTAAACTTCGGATAGGGGGATTCGAACTCAGGTGTAGAGTGGGGAGTACATCCGCTTTAGCCAACTTGGCTAAGCCCATGTCTGCTTAGTTCATCTTATTTTACGTCATAGGTTCATCACTCTTAGGCCCCGTTTGGTTCATGGGAAAGGAGGCTTGGGGATCGGAAATCAATTGCTTTCTCATATTTGGTAAGTCTAGGCATGAGAAATCATTGCCTTGCACATGGTAAAGTAAGGGGGAAAGTGAAGCCCATCCTCCCCCCTTGGGTTTTGTTTTCCCCCTTACGGGAAAGTTTGGGAAAATGAGCCAACATTAAATACACATTTTTTATGACCATATTGTCCTCATCAACAATTTAGAATTACAATATAGCATTCAATGCATTCTTTTTTTATTTATATAGCCCTTTATTATGTAATAAATGAGAATAATGCCCTAGCTGACTATGATCCTCATCATTAGTACCTCCAGTCTCTTAATTATAAATAAATTGTTGCAACTAATGTGATGTGGATGTTATACACTCATCTCTTATATAGTTCATCTTCTTCTTTCTTTTTTTTCTTTTTTTTATTTATTTTATACAAATGATATTATACTTTAATTTAATCTAAACTTCGGATAGGGGGATTCGAACTCAGGTGTAGAGTGGGGAGTACATCCGCTTTAGCCAACTTGGCTAAGCCCATGTCTGCTTAGTTCATCTTATTTTACGTCATAGGTTCATCACTCTTAGGCCCCGTTTGGTTCATAGGAAAGGAGGCTTGGGGATCGGAAATCAATTGCTTTCTCATATTTGGTAAGTCTAGGCATGAGAAATCATTGCCTTGCACATGGTAAAGTAAGTGGAAAAGTGAAGCCCATCCTCCCCCCTTGGATTTTGTTTTCCCCCTTACAAAAGCATGTGAGCATTCTGTCGGCTAGACATGCTTTGTTTATTAGCTCAATGAGCTACTTTTGTATTACTCTAGGAGACATGCTTTCCGTAGAGTACCCAAATCAGTTCAATGAGCTACTTCAGTTCTCTACATTTTTTGAGTTTCATATCGGGATATTATCGGGATATTATCGATAATATCTCGATATATTGACCAAATCATTCATAAAAGTGTTGAAAATATCTTTTTGATATTATCGGGATAATATCGGGATAATATCGATATATTGACGATAACTATATGGTTAGTTGTTAAAATATCGGACCCCCAAAAATCAGATATTATCGGGATAATATCGGGGATATTATCGATATTTAAGACCATGATTGTAACCAGTTTTGATGAAATAATCATCGCTTTTTCTCTCTCAAAAAACAGACTTGACTTGATTGGTGTAGCTTTCCAAATGTTGACATGTGTCATTTTCGATATAACTTGATTTTTTATTTGTCTTGTTGAGCCAAATACTACGCATATTTTGTGTGGTACATAAAACTTGCACCAATCAATGTTGTCAATTTCTGAATTTGTGACACTTCTCTTCTTAATATTAAAAGAAATTTTAAATTCAAATCCTCCTCCATGTTGATTAATCGTCGGCACTTGCAAAATTATTCCAAAATTTCCTCACAATAATAGTCCCATATAAAAAAACAACAAAACGTGGGGTGGGGTAGAGGGGGAGGGGGGAGGGGGCCCTCATATCATGATTCATGAGCAAGAGTGACTCAAGCAAATAAAAAAAAAATTATATTCTATAAAGGAGAGCTTAATTATATCCAGATTAAGCAGCCATGGAAGAAAAGGCATCGGGGAGCTTGTACGGTGGCTCTCTTATTGTGCCTAGTGTTCAAGAATTGGCCAAGAAGCCTATAATCACCATCCCACCCAGATACATACAGCCTCATCATCATCATCACCAACAAGATCAAGTGATATTCAACTCTGATGCTGAAATACCATTCATTGATATGCACAAGTTGCTTTCTCAAGACTCAGTTGATTATGAATCTGAGTTAGCTAAGCTCCATTTTGCTTGCAAAGAGTGGGGTTTCTTTCAGGTATACACCTTGTTTCACTTCTTTGGACTTTCTTGAGGAATTAATTAGAAAATTACATCACACTTGTGATAGTATATTATAATTGATGGAGCAATATATGTACTTCAATGAGAAGTTATTGGTAATGTTGGGGCCAAAATTGGTAAAGCAAGTACAAGGATTAGTAGTGTAGAATAAGAAGCGTATCGTCCAGGGCGGAGTTAGAATTGTAAAGTTTGGGGGGCGCCGAAATAGAAAATACAAGTATATAAAATACCTAAGTATTCAATGGTTACATGTTTATAGCTAAATATTTCTAATTTAGTCATGTCTAATTTGTTTTAGAGAGAATTTTAACTTAAATTATAAGTTGTTTATTACTAGTTCTATAAATTATATATAATATAATATAATATAGTAGAGATCAAAGGAGGTGTTTTTTTTTCCTTTTCTTAAGAGAGATATATATTTTTGGTATTGTGAAATCTTCATTTTGTTGGAAGAAGTCCTGAGCGACAGTTGTTGCATAAATAAAACAAGTTCACGAATTCAAGTTTAGGCAATTAATTGTGTAATTATACATGTAATAAGCACGTATTTTTAAGCATTTAAAGAGTAATTGTGTACAACATAACATAGTATATGCATGTTACAGTTGGTAAACCATGGAGTGAGCTCTTCCTTGATGGAGAAAATAAAGACAGAAGTTCAAGACTTCTTCAACCTTCCCATGGAAGATAAGAAAAAGCTTTGGCAAACCCCAGGAGACGTGGAAGGTTTTGGACAAGCCTTTGTAGTTTCAAAAGACCAAAAACTCGATTGGGCTGACATGTTCTTCATGACCACCCTTCCAGTTCAAATAAGGAGGCCTCATCTGTTCCCAAACCTCCCTTCTCCTTTCAGGTCCTCTCCTCTCATCATCTCATCATCTCATCATATTACTTCGTGTGCATGTCCATATGTTTGTGATTTTGTGCAATATGATTATATATGTGAATGCGCGTGAATCCATGATATGCATAGGTCCACCTCGATACAACTTAATGATCCAATGAAGTTCTTAATTTTCTTAGGCACTATTTTTAATATGGATACATACATGACGTCCGGCTTTTAATAATAAACTCAAGCTATCAATATGGCCTCAATAATGTGCTTAAATTATTGTTCTCAACAAAATTTACCGACATGTTATCGATACATTTTCACCAACAATACTGATGCACATATAGACCAATTCAATCTTTAAGATTAAAGACCGAACATCCTGCACATAGAATTTATGCATATATAGAAATGTAGGTGAGTGAATTTCGAAAACCAAGTTATTTTTTACATGTAGAGAGACCTTAGAAGATTACTCGTTGGAGCTGAGGAACCTAGCCATGACTATCCTATCCCAAATGGAAACTGCTTTACAAATGGAAGACAAGGAAGTGACCAAGTTGTTTGGAGATGGAAGTCAATCAATGAGGATGAACTATTACCCTCCATGTCCTCTTCCGGCGGAAGTCATCGGTCTTACACCTCATTCTGATTCTTCGGGTCTCACCATCCTCCTACAAGTCAATGAAATGGATGGTCTCCAAGTGAAGAAAGATGGGATATGGGTTCCTGTTAAGCCACTACCAGATGCCTTTACTGTCAACGTTGGAGACATTTTAGAGGTGATCATCTTTAACAATTATCCAAAAACTAAACTTCGTTCACCATAATAATTTTATCTATTGCAACTATATTATTTTTTTGTTGTGTTCATGGCAGATTCAAACAAATGGTGTTTATCGCAGCATTGAGCATCGGGCAACAGTTAACCCTGTGAAAGAAAGGCTCTCGATCGCTACATTTTACACCCCGGGAATTGGTTGTGAAATTGGTCCAGCTCCTAGCTTGGTCACTGAGCAAACACCTGCAGCATATACAAGGGTGGGAGTTGAAGATTATTTCAAAGCCTTTTTCGCACGTAAGCTTCAAGGAAAGTCTTTTCTTGATGAGCTGAGGATAAAGTATTAGAAACTTACTCTATTCCATTTGATTTTCTGAAGAAATAGACAGGGGGTATTCTTGTATAATTAGTATTGTTTTACTACTGTTGTCATAAATTTTCATCAAATGATAAAGTTTGTAAGAATGTTGTATTATCGCCTCAAACTCGAATTGAGTGAGTGCCACCTGCTCTTATAACTTTATAAGGACAGTTTTTTTTTTTTTTGGGTCTGAATATAAGGACAGTTCAATGTGAAATCTCTCCAAGATTAAAAGAAGAAAACTTTTTTTTAATTAATAACCAATAGTGCGTACACTTAATTACAAAAGGCACAATTGGAAAGAAACCTAAAAAATAGTGGATTATACAATCACTCCACCCTCCCCTCAAATCTAAACATGGACTCTTACCCCTCTTGAATCCCCACTTAAACCCACCTAAGACAATCCATACTGCACAGTTCCTGTATTCCTGTGAGCAGCTACAGCAACGGCTGCGGCACCAACCGGACCAAACTGAGATTGCGCCTGCAGCAGTTTTGAATCTATCACATGTAAGTGATCTGCCTTCGTGGGTGGTGGGTAGTATGGATTGGTGTTGACTTCAATGGCCATGCCAGGAGCAGGTTTTGCTGCTAAGTTGCGTTGTTCTGGCTGGGGTTGCAGTTTATCATGTGCTGCATCCCTCCGCATCTCCAAACCGGACTTGTCTTGATTGGCAGTATGAGTTCTCAAGAAACAGTGTGGAGAGACGGACTGAGGGGGAAGAACTGTGTTTCTGTAGAACGTCCTCGGATCATAGGTTTCCTTGATATTTCTGCCATTCTCATATGGAAGAACTGGTCCAACAACTCGTCCAGGTTTTGCTGTGCATGGGAAGGAAAATTAATTAACACTACTAGAGGAACCAAAAAAAAGGGCACGATGCACTAATTAAAAGCTAGTGGATCAAACAAAAGGCAAACTTAAAGTCATTTGTGCTTCTGAACGTCAGATTCATAACATACAACTTATAAGGCGTAGTCAATGTAAGGGAACCAGGAAGAGGTATTTGGGGGGCCAAAAAAAAAAAGGCAACGTTGATTATTGGCTAAGCACCAAGACCAACTCTGGGTTGTCGATAAATCATCACTTCATCATGATAAATTCTGCGAGTTCTAATTTAAATCCCATTCCTTAAAATAATCAGAGATGAAAAAAATAGCTAGGTATTATTACATTGAAAAACTGATGCTTCACAAAAAGGCAGTGTAGTACCTGTTGGGACCCTTGGTGGAGGCCGTAAAACCTTTGATGCATTTCCAGAAATTGCATCTGTTACTCTAAAACTGCTAGAAGTCTCTTCTGCCTGTCGGTTCTCATACGAGATCAAATTTGGCTGTGCATTAGGGGGAATTGTACTCGAGTGAACGGTGGATCTGCAAACAAAAAATATGGTTGGAACACATCCATAAGAATATTGAAAAATCAGAGGAAACCTTCCGAAGTCAACATCTTTTCTTGATGAAAGCAAAGACTGCAATATTGACATACAACGAAATCATCTTGCAAATAGCCTACCGTGGAAGGGAGACATGCTTCCTTGCTGGAGGAATAACCGGTCCACTTTTCCCACTGTTTTCCTCAAGATAAGCAAACTGCTTTCTGAATTGGCCTATAGCACTGCATTCAATAAATATGTTATAAATCATCGATGGGAACAGAAAAATCTACATAACACAAAGATAGGATGGATAAGAAGCAAATTTTGAACCTCGGGTAGAGAAAACTAGTGCCTTCAGTTCCATTCAAGTAGTCCTTAAGTAGCTGAGGATGGTATTCTAGTATTTCCCGGTAAATTAGTTCCCTAATGTCCTCCTTTGTGACTCTTCGCCTTTCAAATTCAAATTCCAGCTTTGAAATAGGCTGACAAGAATGTTCTCTCTCAACTTTGGCTAGACCTTTGAAGTAAGGATCAGCTAGTGCCTATAAAACAAACAAAGAGATAAGGTTTTAGTCCGACAGTATTAAACAAAGAGAAGAAAGAAGCTCTACAAATCTACTTGATAGTGACTGCTAGATGCATCATGAGGAAACTTTCATTTGGTAAAAGCACTCAATTTGACATAACACAAACCTCTTCAGCAGTTGGTCGATCCTTCGGGTCAAAAGCCAATAGCCTTTGCAATAGGCGGAGTGCCAGAGGATCTGCCTTTGGAAATTTTTGTGTAAACGGCACAAGAGGTTTTTTCCGCATTTCTGTTAAGTACTTCCTTGCCTTCTCATTTCTAACCTGAATGCATAAATGCCCATAGCATCAATAACTTGGGAAAGAACAGCAATATGGACCAAAATGCATGTGTGTGTGTGTTAAAGGGAAATTTATAGAGAGAGTGAGAAGAGAGAGGAATAAATGGCACTTACTCCAGAAACGGTCTCTAGCTTAGGTGTCCCAAGGAGATCAGTGATCAAATCTAATTGATGAATAACACTTTTACCAGGAAACAATGGTTTCCCTGTCAATACCTCGGCAAAGATGCAGCCAATACTCCATATATCAATGGCAGGTGTGTACTGCAAACAAGATGCAAAGAAAAATGAGGCCATTGAAACAGAATCAGAAAGTTCATAAAGCACTTAAACCACTCCAGAGAAACGGGCATAACCTGACACGATTACCTGAATGACAGATACAACTTCCAGGAGAATTCAATAGTCCTCCCTGAACAAGAATTATTATAATCTAGCATTACTGCATACTATAAAGCACACGGAAGACATTCCAGACAAAAATAAATACATGATCTCGACTATGACGAGCCAAGTAAAATTCCAATTACTTAGTTGGCTCTAAATTGCCAATAATTTTTTTTTGTTTTCGAGTAAACTCATTTTGAATCAAGAGTACAAGATACAACTACTTAGACAATGCTACAACGAGCTGCCCTAAGAAAAATGTCAAAAAACAAACCATCAACATCATAACCACATCAATTTTAAACTCCAAAAAAGCAGGGAACATGATCTAATTATTTTTACCATTGCCTCTGAATATAAGCCCTTCATGTTAGAAAAAATTTCATACCTTGGAAAAGAATGACCCACATAGTTCTGGAGCTCTATACCATCTTGTAGCAACATAGTCCTGTTAGTGTATCAAAAGAAGCAGCATTGACATTATTTGATCAGCAGATTTGAAAATTATACCAGTAATAAATTCCGTTGAAGGAAATTTGAAGCTAGAAAATTACTTACTGTCCAAAATATTGTTGTAGGGGTATCATTAAAGGCAACTCTTGCTAGTCCAAAATCACAAACTTTGAGCTTGCAATTTGCATTTGCCAGTATATTTTTTGGCTTAAGATCTCGATGATATACATTTGCTGCAACCAAAAAAACCTATACTTAGGTCATAGTGCAGAACTAATCCTAAAAATTCAACCCCCGCCAGCTTCCCTTTCCTTATATAAGGAAACATAAGAAAAATATAAATCTATCATTGAGGAATTAACACAACTAGGGATAAATTCTGCAGACAAAACATTATTTAAGGAACTTAAACAATTCATGGGAGAAATAAAATAAAGGACAATGGGCATAAATGAGACTCACCTGTATGCATGTATTTCAAAGCACGTAACATCTGGTAAAGAAAAAATTGATGATGCTCGCGGGTCAAATCATCATTAGCCTTGATAACTTGGTGAAGGTCTGACTCCATGAGCTCGAAAACTACATAAATATCTTTGAACTCCCTCTTTGACGGTGGCAACATGATGCGCTTAATTTCAACAATATCAGGATGTCTTAGAAGCCTGAGCAATTTAACTTCACGCAGAATCCTAATAGCATCAGAGATATGCTCAAATATATCATGTATTTTCTTTATTGCAACTTTCTCCCCAGTATGTGTGTCAATAGCCGCACAAACAACCCCATAGCTTCCCTTCCCAATGACTTCAAGAATCTTATATCTATTCGCATCCCCATATTCAGTGAAAAAGTCCATATCTTTCAGGTCCTGAAAAATACCAAAGAATACATAAGTTTAAAATGCGCGTGCAGATATTAATACATGTTAATTTAAAAAGCAACAAATTGCAACTTCCTATTTTGGAACACAAGAAAACAGCCCAAGATCGATCATAAAACACCAACTAATTTTATGACAAATCCTTCTTCCTCAGGTCATGGTCTTGTTCCCATATCTGAGTCCGTGAAGAGTAACCGTGACATCCATTTTGAAAACCATAAAATCAAATGACCCTTGAAAAAAGTAATGGAATAATATAATAGAATCAGGTGCTAGAAGAAAAGGGCGCAGACTAAAATAATATGCCATGGTAAAGTATCAAACAATTATATTAGAGACTAGATTCCTTGCTTTGAATGCAAAGCCAGCACACAAGAAACAGAAAGCAACAGAAAAACACAATCTGTACAAAACAACATCAAACAGAATATTCAAAACACATTCAGTAATTAAATTATTCTGCTTATTGAAGTTATCAAAATCGGATATTTAACTGAAAAACAATAATTACAAACACAGTAACATCAACAAAAACAAAAACACAAACACAAACTAAAAATAAAAAAAACTTTTAATATTTCACCCAAAAAATTGGAAATTAGAAAGCACAGAATAAAAAAGAATGTTACTAAAAAAAATATATGATGTTTATTAGTCACCTTACAAATATGGATGATAGGATGAAAATTCAGGTAAAAAAGATTAAAGAATCTTATAAATCCATAAATTTTGTGTAATATCTTTCATTCTCCGGACACATTTTCTTAGCAACCAAATGGTTGATAATGATCCCAACCCAGGTCTTGAACAACCCAAAAAATTTCACATAGAGAGAGAGACAGAGAGAGACAGAGAGAAAGATACCTTCTTTGGGTGATCTGCATGCATGTCCTTCTTGCTCCTCTAGTAATTGAACAAAACTCGGACTCAAAAGAAAACGACGAATTATAAATATAAGAGCTTTGCACGAAGAAGAAGAAGAAAACTAAACTAGCCACATTTGCCCCAGCGAGACCCACTCCGAATGACAAGCCCAAAATCCCTTCTAACACATACGCCACCAACCTCCTCTCTCATCCAAATCCACACACCTCCCTCAATTCCCAATTTCCCAGATCCAATTACCCCACGAGCAGCCCCAAATTCAAAAATTTCAACACAATTGAAACTTGAAACCCCAGAAGCTTCGGAGAATCCAAACCCTAGGAGTCTTCAAATTTTGAAATTGGAAACCCTGGGCTCTCTTCGGGTACGAGAGATCCAGTAGGGCGGTGCCGGATCAGAGAGAAACGAAGGGAATTCAAAGAGAGAGGAAGAGAGAGAGAGAAGGAGAGAGATGGTCGTCGTCTTCTTTTGATTAATCTGATAATTGGTTTGGTTGTTTTATTTATCCACCATAATTAGAATTTTATACTTTTGTCCAATTACTCTTTTACACACTGTGTACGGAGACCCGGTGCGGTGGTACTGTTGGCGTGTACGTCAGTGGCCGTATTTGTAGTTCTTTTAAATACCATGCCTCTTTTGGTCTTTTAGTCATAGAGAATATTGAAATTCCAACTTATCTACTGTGGATAATAGGGAATATTGGTAGGGGCATTATTGACCGTAGATTGCATTTGAAGAACACTTAAATCTACGGTCAGCGATTGATCCCACGTCCAGCGTGGCAGCGTAGCACTCCTCATAATCCAAATAATTAAATCCAATACATAAGAAGGAAGGAACTAAATTTGATGTTTGAAAATAAACTAAATTTGCAATAACTAGATGTAATACATTTGAAATGACGATGTGCGAGGAGTGATTTGGAATCCAATTTTATTTATTTTTCATGTACTTATTATTGTAATAATGTAATCTTACAATTTAATCTCAAAAAAGAATTTGGGATTTCTCGGGTATATATTTTAGTTTCTTTATGTTGGAGTTATGATTTTGAAGATAGCAAAAAAGAAATGACAAAAAAAAATATACAAAAAGAAGGAAAAGTTGGGCCTTTAATTGACTCTTGGAAGCTTTGATGGAGCATTGTACATGTCGACAACAACAACTACACCTCGAAACCTCAAAACCACATAAATATGTGCTGCCAAAACTTTACACATCTTCATGTCAACAGCTGCAATACAGAGGAGAACATGTGTTGCCAAACTTGCACATCTTCATTCTTATGACCAGGAGGAGCAATCGCCTCCTCATAAGCATTAGTGTCCAAGTGTGCTCTTGAGATAGAACTTTGAAGGAAAGAATTGTGAATTGTTTATGTGGTAGTGAGTGATTTTAAATTTTAAGGGCTCTTCTTCTTTATTTATTTTTTTATGCACCTCAATTTTTATTAATACTAAGTATAATGAGTGTCAGTTTGGTATAGTTCAGTTGGTTGAGTTATTCCATCTTTACCCATGCGGGCAAAGGTTCGAAAACCTCAAACAAGAGCGGAGCTAGAATTGTAAAGTTTGGAGGGCTAGAATAGAAAATACAAGTATATAAAACACTTAAGTATTTAATAGTTACATGTCTAGAGCTAATGAGTATAATGAGCTTGAAATTTTATAATTTCCTTGGCATTATTGATTTCTTTATATTGGGTGTTTCATAGATAGGCAACATCAATTTTAGATTAACGGAGAATGACCATAGAATAAAAAAGATATCAAAGAAATTACATGAGCAATGACAAAGAAAATTCTACACATTTCATTAAGATATGTAAGCAATGTCAATTATATCTTTGTACATATCATAACTAGGTCAATGTCTAATCCATTTCTCTCGTCACCCTCTCTTGGCTCTAATCAATTCCAAAACGCGGCAAAGTGTATATTACAATTATTTCGTTATCAAATCCGGATAAGTACTGTTATTTTTGTCCCACTCTAAAGAAGTACCAATCAATTTGCCTTGGATAACAAGTCACTGCTTTGTGTGTGTTCCACAGTCCACTTCCACCACTAGTTTTCAAACCCTAAATTTTGCTGGAGGAAGATTAAGGTCACCAAACCAACAGCACAGCACAGTCTTTATCAAGTTAGCCGCTGAAATGATAGTAGCCACAATTAGCCACAATTTTGCAACCATGCATGCATGCATTGCTGTTGCAACAAGAGTTTCCTGGACCACGCGTTTGCTCATGCATTGCTGTTTGTATTTTGAACCTTTACACACCCCAGAAATTAGTATTGTCATTCTCTCTCTCTCTCTCTCTCTCTCTCTCTCTCAATTATGTGTGGGCTGTTTTGGTAGGTTCAGTTGGACCTATAATCAACCCACTTGAAGGAACGTGGGCTAACTGTTGGAGGTCGATCCCCCATATATATTTACACATTTCACATTTGTGCACAAAACACAACAACGTGGACAAATTATGCACAGTAGCTGACAAAAGAAAAACAATTTAAACATTCGAAGGAAAAACTTGCTTGCCAATGGAATGGAGCCCAATAAGTTGGATGGCATCAAACATTCAAAGGTTCCTGTTGAAGATATAACATCATTTTTCTGGCCCATCGTTTTTTATCCACTAAATTTCAGACTTTGTTGCGCCAATTGATCTCAATTTGTTTGGGTCTACTATTGAAAAAACAAGATAAACTTAGACTCTATATATAAATCCTTGCTCAAAATGAACGCTAAATACAAGAAAATCAAATGTGTTCAAATAGGATTTTCAAGAAACGTATTAATAGCCTAGACTTCAAGTTATTAATAGCGTTATAATCTTAATATTATAACCCTAGATCCATTATCCATGACATATTAATAACATCATGTGACAGTATGACCGTCGTACGTACTCTCACTAATCGTAATGTAAGTGGTCTTGCCACGCTTTTTTTTTTCCTTAATCTCTTGTAATAATTTTTGTATTAGGAATATTTGTCCTTCCACAATACTCTAAAGAAAGTATAATTTTGCAAAAATGTAAGCAATTTATAGATGTCATGACCAGATAACCATAGCCTTGTTTGCGATATGTATAGAAATTTGAAGTCGGGACATGGTCAAACATTGCTCTGTGGACACACACAGGTTTGATATCGTTTCTTCAAATCACCCTGAAACTTTTTCCAAAAGGAAACAGAAACAAACATAATATTTTGCTTTTTTGATATAATTGTACAATCATGCTTTTCATATTCAACATTTTTCTACTTTTAAAAGATGATTAGACCAGGAAAATCTTTAGCAATTTCAACACTAATTTTCGAGAACCTCTGGAAAGATTTTGCCAATCAATCAATCAATTTTTACCTAATCTTTGTTTGCAAAAAAGATTCCCAATAATTCACATACCTCCGTCTGCTACGTACCATGACCATGAACATGATGAAGGGAAGGCATGAAAGGGACGTGGAGTTCAAAGTCTTTCACTTCTCTTCTCTAGCGCCGACCTATTTATTTTTCGGCTCACATGATGAAGGGATTGGCTACTCTCAACATCAGCGCTAAAGTAGACCCACAACCTTGAATCGGAAGGACTTACGCATGGCACCCAACTGCCAGCTACCACCGATAAGGTCTTTTGCCTTCTTTTGACCCTCCACTATCTTAAAGAAAATAAATCAGGCCCTTTGGTCATCTAGTCACTACTCCATTAGTGCATTTTTCTTTTCATCGTACTGTTAGGAACAGCTTTTTTTTCATTTCCTAATCAATTTTTTTTTTTTTAAAGTTGATAGACAGACATATATAAGAAAATAGTCCAAATGAAATTGAGATTTCTCTTTTTTATTTTGTTCAAAAGTTACATGATACAGTGCCAAAAGTACTGTGATTTGAACTCGGACACTATTTTGGAAGATTTGAAGTCTAATCTTTTCTTTTCCTTCCTATTTTCTTATTAAATATAGACTACATTTTTTTGCTTTTGGTAGAAAAGCCTAAAGTAAAATGTTTGCTTTAATTTTTCCATATTCTCACTACTTTTTAGATTAATGCGTAGACAAATGTACGTACCTTGATATATAATCTGTTCTGCTGCACGTGGGAAGAGCTGTGTGTGAGGACATGTTAGGTTATGTTATGTGAGTGAATGGAAATCTTTATGATGAGTTGAATGAGTTTAACTACTTGAGTTTGAGTTTTGAGAAAAACAATACATATGTCTTTCCTTTTTTTTATACAAGCGGTATTCTACTTTAATCTAATTTAAACTACGGGGAAGGGAATTCGAACTCAAGTGCAGAGTGGGAATAGCATCTGCTCTAGCCAACTTGGCTAAGTCTATGTTTGAACCGTACATATATCTTTAATTATATCTAATAAGCCCAAAAAAAAAAAAACAATTTACTCAAAAGTCAAGCATTTACTTTAACTTATTGTAAAGCCAGAACTAATAAAGCATGGAAAGCAGGTAATCAAATAGTAAACCCAAATCAAAATATGATGAGAATGATTGAACCAGAAGAATATATATTATTTAAGAAGATAATTAATCATTTTGTTATGTATTAATTGTTCTAGCTAGCTATAAAAAAAATTTAATCATGTTTATTAGCATATAATAGAAAATTTGCAAATATAGCTTAATTGCTCCTGTAATCATTGGGAACATTGTATAGCAATGGAAAGAAGAGACTAGGGAGTTTTTTGTAATGATGTGTTGGCCTTCTGCTGATGAGGAATAGAATTACCGATGGGATTTGGTCCTGAATGTACTTCGTGCAACACTTTCCTTTGGACATGATCGGTGGCTTCTTCAAACAATGACTGCTGTTGAGATTATGAAATCAAAAAGATCATCAGGAAATAAAATAAGAGAAACATATCGTAATTCATTGATTTGTAAAAGCATACGTATATATGATCACCTCACCTTGTCCTGGAAATCATCATTTGATGATGATTTTCTCACTTTATTTGTCTCCTCCACATCTAAAACACACACATATAGACGCATATGTCAAGTAGAGATCATTAGAATTGTTGTATATATTTTTTGTTTGTGTATGAGAGAGAGAGAGAGAGAGAGAGAGAGAGAGAGAGAGAGAGAGAGAGAGAGAGAGAGAGAGAGAGAGAGAGAGAGAGAGAGAGAGAGAGAGAGAGAGAGAGAGAGAGAGAGAGAGAGAGAGAGAGAGAGAGAGAGAGAGAGAGAGAGAGAGAGAGAGAGAGAGAGAGAGAGAGAGAGAGAGAGAGAGAGAGAGAGAGAGAGAGAGAGAGAGAGAGAGAGAGAGAGAGAGAGAGAGAGAGAGAGAGAGAGAGAGAGAGAGAGAGAGAGAGAGAGAGAGAGAGAGAGAGAGAGAGAGAGAGAGAGAGAGAGAGAGAGAGAGAGAGAGAGAGAGAGAGAGAGAGAGAGAGAGAGAGAGAGAGAGAGAGAGAGAGAGAGAGAGAGAGAGAGAGAGAGAGAGAGAGAGAGAGAGAGAGAGAGAGAGAGAGAGAGAGAGAGAGAGAGAGAGAGAGAGAGAGAGAGAGAGAGAGAGAGAGAGAGAGAGAGAGAGAGAGAGAGAGAGAGAGAGAGAGAGAGAGAGAGAGAGAGAGAGAGAGGAAGAAGGCTTAATGCATTGAAGGGAACAAGAAGATATCGGGCAAATAGACATGTATTTGACTACTGTCTTTTTAGTGAGGGATCGGTGTACAGTTGGGAGATGATCAAGTGCATGCAGTCATAATATAATACATCATGAGTTTGAGCCAAATGCTGTACCAAATGAAAGAATTAACTGATGAGTAATTTTAGTGTTCCTGTCATTTTTCACTTGTATTATAACATATGAATTAATAACATTTCGTGATAGTACCATCTCACACGCACTCATTCTGCAAGTGGAAAGATTTTTAAATTGGATGAGGACAGTGGATATATATATGACGAAAAATGACGAATCATGTACAAGTTCTTTTTTCTGATGAATGAATTACAAATTTGCCAAAACCTAATAGACTAGGCCCTTCGATCATATTTGGTGAGTTGGATTGGTCTGGATATATTCAATTAGAATGTACATGGGTCCAGTCGTTGTTTGGTGGACTTTAAGTGCACAACGGGCTGGATGTGGTTTAGAACGAAGTCGTTGTATCGTCTTCTCTTTCAGCATGAAGTCGTCGTCTCTGGTTTGCCTTCTTCGTCATCTTTGGTTTGCCTTCTTCTCCTCTATCCTCTCTTCTATTCTCTCCTTACTCAAACAAGCTCAGATTTCGCGAATCTTTGGGTTAGATGTCGAATGATGCGTTTGTTTTGTTCAAATGTTCTGCTTTTTTTCGTGACCTGAGATTGGAAACTAATTTTTGGTTAGATCTTGATATGAGTTTGAGTTTCTGGTTTAATTCTTGCACAAAGTCGGGGTTTTCCTTCAATTTGAGCCAAAAAGTTAGGAATTTGCATCTGATTCTTGTTAAGAAAATAAAAAATAAAATAAAATTTTGAACTCAACTCCAGTCTGTTGCTTGGTGCAAAATTAAATAGGTAGTGGACTTAAAATCCAAGCCAACCTAGTCCAATGCTTCAAAACTCATCCTAGCCAGTCCAGACCAGCCCACCAAAACGGGCTTCGTGTTTCATTTTTCAGATGGAAACTAACTGGGGCATTTGAACGATAAAGGGTTTGTGCCCAATAAACTAACAGGGACGAAATCAAAGCTGTAAAAGTAGTAAAGGGGAAGACAATTGCCACTGGGCATACCGTGGAACTCAGCAAAACCCTGGCCGAGCAAGTACAATGCTAATTAAAAGTGAAATTCCAGATAATAAAGCGCAGAGCTGCTTCTTTAAGCAAAAAACAATTTCACAACAGCAATTCTTTTGTTCTATGTTCTTAGGAATAAATAATCAGCCGTAACCGTATAACACTCGGATAATAGCAAAATGGAGACACAAAATACATATCCCTATCAACCTATGGAGGACTGATTCAAAGATCTGCTCTTCCAGGATATCTGGGGAATGGAATAACATCTCTAATATTGTCAATCCCAGTAGCAAAGAGAACCATTCGTTCAAAGCCTAAACCAAAACCACAATGTTTTACAGTCCCATAGCGCCGCAAGTCAAGGTACCACTCATATGGCTCAAGGGGCAGACCCATCTCCTTTATCCTGCAATAATAGATTAATCAAACAATACATTTGTCAAGTCAATATACTACATCAAACTATCCATTACTCGAATGATGCAGAGGGGCAAAACAACTGCTATCAAAAACCTTGTGCAGAAGAGTACTCCAACGAAAATAATAATAATAATAGCAGATAAAAATCACTAAAACAGACAAAAAAGATACCATTGGGGTGATCAATCACACCCTACAGTTCTCATACCTGCTCACTATAACATCATAACGCTCTTCCCTTTGGCTTCCCCCTATCAACTCTCCCACCTGAAATATAAGAAAAGCATAAACAGCACACAAATTATACACACTGCTAAAGTATACAACAGAGCACTGAACTCGATGATATAAATGTTAAGAGTATAATGTCCACCTTTGGTACCAGGACATCCATAGCAGCCACTGTCTTTGAATCATCATTGAGCCTCATGTAGAATGCTTTGATCCCTTTAGGGTAATTATAAACAATAACAGGCTTCTGAAATCTCACCTCTGTCAAGTATCTGCACAAAAGCAAAGCAATAAATTAGTACGCTAAATTTAATCAGAAACTGTAATAAGACAAACCAGCAGAATAACGCTATGGGAATACCTTTCATGCTCAGATGCCAAATCAATCCCCCACTCTACATGGTTCTCAAACTTCTTACCATTTTTCACAGCCTCAGTTAGCAGCTCCACTGCTTCTGTATAAGTTATCCGAACAAAGGGTGTTTTAGCGACCATTGTTAGACGATCAATGCAACTTTTATCAATTTTGTCAGCCATAAATTCCATATCTTCACTGCAATTGTCAAGTAACGACTGACACAGATATTTCACATACGCCTCTGCACAGTTCATATCATCCTGCATGAATACACAAACTGTAAGACTTCTGCATGGAAAATAAGATTCAGATGTGAAAATTCATGGACAAAAAAAAGTTTAGGAAGGGGCAGCTTCTACGTTTCCATGGACAATAAGATTAAAAATAAACACTAAAATCCAAAATGTATATTGAAGACTACACTAGATTTAAGCTTGACACACCTCAAGCTCTGCAAATGCTATTTCAGGCTCCACCATCCAGAATTCTGCCAAATGCCTCGAAGTATGTGAGTTCTCAGCTCGAAAAGTTGGCCCAAATGTATAGACAGTACTAAGAGAACATGCATAAGATTCGACTTGTAGTTGGCCAGAAACAGTCAAAAAGGCTTGACGGCCAAAGAAATCTTTGGTATAATCAATCTTCCCATCCTTTCGAGGGATACCAGGTTGAAGCTTGGATCTCTCCTCCAGTTTCACGACATTATCCTTTGCCTTTTGAAGCTCAACCACAGCAGCACCAATTTCTTGCTTACTTGCTTTAGCAGACTTGAGCTGAGCCACATCACTTCCTCTCTCCTTGACAATAAGATTGGCAGCTTCAATGTCTGCTTCTGATGGAGGGGGGTTCTCAATAAGATCCTTTTCCAACTTTTCAGCTTCATTAATCAAGGTAGTGACTTGAAACATCTCACCAGCACCCTCACAATCACTGGTGGTGATAATTGGAGTCTGCACGTAACGAAATCCATGATCGTGGAAAAATGTGTGGGTTGCATATGCCAGGGCATCTCTGATTCTAAGGACTGCAGAGATCTGAAAGTGGATACACAAGATACATGATAATCACACACTAATTATTAAAAGCGTAAGAGGTCCTATAAAAAAGTGAAATTAGAAAAAGGCCTCGGAGGCAACATATTATCATCAACAACTGCTCTTTAACATCTCTCCGTCAAAAACCAGTTTCATGTTCAATCAACCATTAAATTTAAATTTCATTTATTTGTTCTGTAAGAAAACAGAGTTTTATTAATACCAAAACAAGAAAGTAGAACCAGGGTGGACAAGCTGTCCAATCAGCATCACATCAGTAAGGACTAAGCTACAATGGAAAAAAATGCACTTTCTAACATCAGTCCAAAACCAAAGCATTATTTACGCTCCTAAGAAACAGCTGCTTCCAATCAACCAAACAAGAAGAAAACGTAATGTCCCTATAATGTGAATAAACTAAAGCGCCACTGAATGTATAGCATATACAGTTACCTTAATCACACAAATGTTGATCATGTTTCTAATCAATAAATGTATAGCATATAGAGTTTAATCACATTGATAACAACAAAATTCAAAAAAGTATATATATATACAGTCACATAGTATATCTGTGTGCATGGTTTATGAGCTTGTGCATGGTTTATGAGCTTATGCATGTTTCAAGTCAATGCAAACAGCTTACCGTGTTGGTTCTGGGACGCAAATGAACATAATCCCTCAAAAACTCAAGGGGGAGCCTAGTCTTGGGCAACGGGTACTTCGATGGGTCAACCAGACCCACATGGATCACCTTCTCGACCCGAAGCTCCACCTTCTGCTTTTTCCCATCTGGGGGAAGCGACCCGAAGCTCCACCTTCTGCTTTTTCCCATCTGGGGGAAGCTTAAGCACACCATCCACGACCAAGCTTGTACCAGTCATCACAAGCTGCCCAAGGTCAGCCTTGTCTGCTTCCACAATGACCTGAAGGTTGCCCGAGCATGACCCATCATTCAGCTCCAGGAATGCAAATGCATCCTTGTCTGCCTTCCGACCGGTCTTCACCCACCCACCAACCCGGGCTAGCTTCCCGGCTAACCCGGACCCTCCATCAGGCCGCAAAATGATGGATTTAATGGGGACTCTATCAGAAAATTGCGCTCTTTGAACGGAGGCATTGCTGTCTAAGGTTGCTGTGGCCAGTTGCGCAGTCAAATCGTCAGCCATTAGGTGTTGTAACTTGTAACCTAAGGCAAAAAGTCGGAATTCAAAAACTTCTCTATGAAATAGCTGTCAATATTTAAACCAGATTAAAACTTCAGATTCAATTAAATTAAGCATTGCAGATTCAATTAAATACTACGCTGTCAATCCACACAAAAACAACCATACGTTTCATTTTGAGCATTGCAGTTTCGTTAAATTAAGAATATGCATGAATGTGCTATCCATCTCAGATTAATTCTCATATGCTTCACTCTTCTGGGTTTGCAATTTCAATGGCCAAGTAGGAAAAAGCAAAAAGAATAAAAATTTCAGTAAACAGATGACAGATCAATGAGACCCACAACGACACGCACACTCAACAACATATTTACACACACACACACACACAACTTCATATAAATCAACTCGAATTACATATACATAAGCTATATATCAAAATTAATGAACATTAAAAAGGTGAAAAATCCGGATGAAAAATTACCCGATTGCAGAGAACGGAGATGGGCAAGCGATGCCGAGACGAAGATGACAAACTAAGCTCACGGCGAGCCAGAGAACGGAATCTTTGACTTAAGGCGGTGTGACGCCGCACCAATGGTGTGCGCCTTGCGCTTGTGCGGTGGCGTGTGTCTTCGACGCAAAGAGACAGAGAGAGACTGAGTGACAGAGCTGAGAAAGAGTGGGCGAAGGAGAGCTTAGAGGAGGCGGCGGCGAAGGAAATGAGTTTTTCTGGTTGGATTCTCATCTACGCGGAGTTTTCCTTTATTATATAAGAAAAACCCTGCCACTTCACCTACGCTGAGTAGGATTCTCATCCAATTAGAACTTGCCACATCTCCACCCAATTAAGAACATAAAAATTTGGAAAATAAATAAAAGGTAAAAAGTTTGTCCCTGTAGTTTGCTGATTTACCACTTTGATCTACGTATTTTCTATTTTGTTAATTTTAGGCTTAATTTTATCATTTTAAATTAGAGGATTTTAAAAACATCTTATAGATCAGTCAAATTTCTTATAATTCCGCTACAAATTGAAATTGCGGGGCCAAAGTAATAAAATCGGCAAATATAATAAAGGAGGAAATTAGGTTATAAAACATAAAATATAATGTATTTTAAAAAAAGTGTTTCATTATTTCATTGAAAAATTATATGAGTGTATTTGTAATGTTTTTATTTTTTATTTTTTGTCACACTGCAAAAAATGGAACCTTATATCTATCATAATCCTACTCCCGCCCAAAAGCAAGAGTATTCTCTTGTTTTTGTCTAATCTTGTGTTACCACAACTACTTTTCTGTCTATTTCTTAGGTGTAATGGATGAGCAAATTGTGGCTTTTATAGCTCCACTAGTTTTTTTTTTTTTTTTTTTGGTTCTTTTTCAACCATATCTGGTTCTGGTTCTGGTTGGTCCGACTTTGTTCATATTCGGTGCTGATAGGACTTGTTTGTGGGAAGAACATATTCCTCCAGCGGGGCATGGCATGGAAAGTGGGTGTATATATTCCTCCAACGAATTCTCTAATGTGGGTTGTGAGCACGTTCGAACGCTCATGGTTCAGCGTTTGAACGTTCTCTCACATCCCACATTGCTGCTTGCTGCATCCGCAGACTAAAATCTTTGCCTTGAAATTAATGATTTTTGTAATTTCTGCGCTTTTAGGAGTAACCTCTGGACTTGTAGGAGTCACTTCAAAGTGTGCCATCCGCAAGCTTCTTTGTTTAAAGGCATACATTTTGAAAGGCAACATCCATCAAGCATGTTGAAAATTTATTGTACCTATCTTAGATACAAGCTATCGTCAATGAGACTGAAGAAGATTCAAAACTGATTTTCTCTCCGGCATGCTAGGAATGGCTCCTTTCACTTGAACACAAAGAGAAGCTGCCGCAGCTGGAAAAAATGAAAACAGAAAAAATCATGAGCAAATTTTTTTAAAGAAACATAATCAAAATAGAATAAGGGTTGATGCAGCCCATACCCGCAAATCTCAAGCACTCCCTTTTGGACTTGCCCTCCACAAGAGCCACCGCAAAAGAGGCAGTAAACGTATCACCAGCTCCAGTTGTATCGAGTACTTTTGCAGCAGAGATGACAGATTGTTTAATTGGTTCTTCACCTTCTACAAATAGAGCAGACCCTTTGGACCCAAGCTTCACTAGGACTTGCTTAACACCCTGAAATTAGACATAGAATGAAACTATGGCTTAGTCAAGCTAGGATATACGAGCACCTTCCAATTGTGCTTAAATGACATACTATCATCCAAATCAATACCAAATGACAACATAAGAGCCAACACAAGAAAGCTGATAGGAATAGTGTTAGAATGTCATAAAAATACCAGATTCCAATATCTGCATGGTATTTCCCTTCCTGGTTCTTTTTATGCCAAATCTAGATGATATGCATAATAATGAATCTTCAGGTTTCAGACACCAAAAACAAAAATCTTCAAATCATAGAAAATGGCAGTCTTGAAGCATGACTATCTGTTCAAAGCTTTGAAGACTTCTGGCAGCAAAACTTACCATTTTATGAAATTTCACCACAGCATGACTAATCTGTTCAAAGCTTTCAGTCGGCATTCCTGTCAAACGACCAAGCTCGGTTTCATTTGGGCTCAAAATATCAACAAAGTTCAATAATTCCTGGGAGATTGGTGCATCCATTCCTCCAGCATCCAAAATGACTGGTACGCCTGCACTCTTGGCAGCCTAAATATAAAATGGTATATCAGACTATACATGAAATTATTACAAACAACAACACAGACCAATAGAATCAGAATGTTTATAGTTTTATCCACTATTTAAAGGGACACAATGTTGAAATTCAAAATAAATAAACTTTATGTGATAAATAGGCAATTAAAATTAAGGGCCTATATGGTCACTCTTTGATGCCTAAGAACAGACCAACTGCCTCATGTACTTGAAGTGACTTGAGTGTGGTCTGCTATCGGATTCAACTTTAACACAAAATGGTTATCAGTGGAAGGTATGGTGTAAAGCCAACAAGACAACTACAGTCCCAATCAGCACTAAACCAAAAAAAGATCCTATGATTAAACAGATTATCAAGCAAATGACTGATTATCCTTGAGCAAATTACCTTATGCCTGCAGAGATCCTATATGGTGTTATGTTGTTTACAAGGCACAGGCCTCAATTCTAGACTCAAATATCCAAATCAATAGCACTTCACACCAATTTAATCCTTTACAGCTCTGTAGAAGTCATAATTGTCACATACAGTTTAAGAAGTCACTATTAAATCATTCAATTTCACATGGCAAAAAACAACATAGATTATTTAATTAGATTCACACACATGCGACAAGTAAAATATAAGTGTATACCTTCCTGAGCATTTATTCTATTCAATAAGTTAGTCTGAAAAAGCTATTCTGAGCAAGACATCACTTGTAATTTCAAACACAAAGTTGGTTGAACTAATGCCTTCCAGAAGCTACATGGATCTTCCTTCTCCCACAAAACCAATCAAGCTATTATGTTGATTACTAAAGAACCAGTGTGCTGTTGAGCTAATACTGTTTTTTGTTGTTCACATCCAGTTTGGAAACCCCATAAAAATCCACAACTCAAAAATGTACTATTAAAACTCCTTCAGTTTAACTCACAATATCTCTACCTTTGATCTTCCTGCCACATTCTCATCAACAAACTGAAGGAAACGTCTTGCCGGAAAAACAGAACAAAAAGCCTAAAATAAACATCAATACTGCAGAGATTCACGCATACAATAGCCAATCAGCCCTTTTAACTAGATCCAAGAAAGCTCAAAGCTTTCTAATACCCAACATACATAATCACAAATGCCAATAACATAAATTTCAATTCCTCTATCATATGGCCAATCATCTTCCATTCTGTAACAAAGTAAATGAAACTTCCTTAGATTTCAAGTTGAAACACCTTCAACAAAACGAATCCTGTTGTGATTAAAATCAAAACTAAATCATCAAAGACTTCACAAAGTCATTGTAAGAGCAAGTGATTCTAATCTAGCAGAAGACAACAATCTCCAAGAAGCTTACCATCTTTCCTCATTACCCAAAGTGTAACATCCAATTTGATTACTATTAAATAAATAAACAAAAGTGAATTTAAAAATTTTAAAAATTAGAAAAGCCCTGACCTTTGCAACCTGAGTGTTGACCGATTCTGGGATCTCCCTCTGAAGCAAAACAATCCCAGCATTCCTCACAACCTCCAAATCCTCATCAGAAAGCTTCTCAGGCCAGCAGTGCATGTTGGCACCACCAACAATGATGATGGAGTTTTGCCCATCAGATTGCAACATCACCACAGCATGCCCAGTGGGTGCAGCAGAAACAGCACTCAAGTGATCAAGGTGGACCCCACCACTCCGCAGAGCCTCAGTGATCAGCTTCCCATGGGCATCTTCACCCACCTGACCCACAAAGTATGTTGGGTAAGAAAGCTTGCCTCCACAGGCAGCCTGGTTGGCGCCTTTGCCACCAGCCAGGGTCTGGCCATTCTTGGCTGAAATGGTCTCGCCTTCTTTGGGCAGCCTGTCAATCTCCACATAGATGTCTGCATTGGCTGAGCCCACTACAACAAGAGGTGAGCTTGTGATGGTGAGAGGGGTTGGTGGGTTTGGAGTTTTTGATGCATCTGTGGAGAAACAAAGAAATAGGTTTCTTCTATTGGATTGGTTTTGGGTGGTGTTGTTGAATTGAAGATGTGGGTTTGTGTTGATTGCTCTGTTTGGGTGGTTTGAGAAATGGGTTTGGATTTTATCGTACCATTGATTTGATGGTGAAAATGCTACCGCTCTCATGGCACTCATTGCAGTCTCTCTCCTCTCTCTCTCTCTCTCTCTCTCTCTCTCAGAAAGTAGCTTTGTAGGACTAATCGAAAATTCTAATACTTTTTAGCAGGTGGATTGGCGAGTTGGTAACAACAGTGATTTCACATTTTTACACCTCAGTTTGTATCTCCCTTCCCGCAAATTAGATGAAAATTGGGACGAGTCAGGTAAAATCTAAAAAAATCCAAACGACCTAACGTGGTCATCAGAGAGCCTCGTTCTCCAAATTCATGTAAACGGAAGCCACGTGGCCGAAACACAAATCTTGCTGCTCCAAGTCCGTGATCTATCGAATCAAAATGCCGATCTCAAATCAACACCGAAACAAAACACTAATCGAACGGCCAGCATTGACCTACCACCATCCCTCGTTTCATATCGACAACAGAAGATCATTCTCGGCTAACGATTTTATACCCATTTGCGATTGTTGTTGGAAAACGTAGAAGCTATATAAGAGAGTTGAGTTTCAGTTCGTCAATGGCATCTTCTGGTTGTAGTTTAAGCTTACCGACAACAGCAGCTTACATTTCCTCGAAAACCCAGTTCGTCTTTGGCTTGAAATCCAAGAATTTTGTATTGAATTCCCGACCTTTGGCCAAACCCAAGAGGCTCTGCTTCTCTGTTCGTGCAATGGGTTCATATGCTTCTTCACCGGACAGAAGTTCTCAAGGTATTTTCTATTTAGGTGTATATATATGGTGACCCAATGAAGAAGTCAATCTGAATTTATTTTCCATTTTGAAAATTGATATTGGATTTTGTAGAAAGATATGTTATTTAATATCCTTGTGCTGTTGGGTGATGCCCAGTTCTGTTAAAAGTTCAAATATTTTCTCACATGAAATGGATTTTCATTTATGTATGTGCAGGATAAAGAATCTTTGATTATCATAATTTTTATGTTGTGTTTCTGTTTGCTGGTCATGTGCAGAGACAGGTGTGGTTGACTATAAATCTATAAGTGATCAAGAATGGAAGAAGCGGCTTACCCAGGAACAGTTTTACATCACTCGTCAAAAGGGAACAGAGAGGGCTTTCACTGGGTATATTATCTGCTTCTTTAATCTGGAATTTGATGTTTGTTATTGCAGAAGATCCACTATCTTTCCAACTTTGTTAGCTGAAATTTTGAACTTGAAAATTTATTCATTTTTGGGAGCTTTTGAGGACCTACTAGGAAGTTTCAAAGCAAAATTTTCATCTTGCAAGTTATGTTAGGCTCTTCAGACCTAAAGA